CACTAAGACAGAATCAAAGCACATTACAGCTTACAGATTTGGTAACCTGAGGTTACTAGACTTTTTGTTAAAGAAACACAACATTTTCAAACACTGAAAGAGCTCTGTCTCTTATACTCATTGAAACAAATATTTACTGAGCACCTTACTATGTACTGGGCACTGGGCCACTGGTGGGGAGGACAGATGAGACTTTGTCCCAAGCTGTCTCCTCAGCCAGGCCCTCCTGGATCACCCTGTGGAGTATCCTTCTCTCTCTCCAGCACTCCACCCCTCTCTCTGCCTTACTTTGTCTGCAGGGTATCTGTCACCGTCTAGTAGATTCTAGGTTTTGCATTTCAATTTTGTTTAGTGCCTTCTGCCCTAACTATGATATAAGCTTCCTGGGTCAGGGATTCGTTTTGTTGACTACCATATCTTAAATACCCATAAAAATGTCTGACACCAAGGAGGCACTCAGCAAATACCTGTTAAATAAATGGATATCAAATGGATAAAAATGTGCACACATACACATATAATTATATAGATATTTCACTGCAAACATAGGTACTTTGAAAAATGAGTATGGAGTACTGGGTGGTAATGGTGCACGGTGGGCAGTTGAGAAAGACTTGCTTGAGAAGGCTGGTTGAAATGAATCCTAAAGCATGAGTGGATGTTAGCCACAGTGAGGAAGGCAGGTTCTGTGGGGGAAGGGGTCAACAGTTCCAATATAGGAAAGGCATGTGCAAGGACCCTGAGGCAGAAAGAATACATATATTTGTGGTCCTGAAAGGAAGCCATTATCTAGAATGAATTGAAAGAGGGAGAGTGTTAACAGGGGATGCAGCAACAAAGAGCCTTCTGGAAGATGTTGGGGGCCCTACTATTTGGATCTTATTCCAAAGACCACAGGGAACCCTAGAGGGGATATAAGCAATAGGTGCCTGATGGATTCACATTTCAAAAAGATCACTCTGCTGCTAGATGGGGAGTGGCCTAGAGGAGTCAAAGGTCATTTCTGGAAGACCAGTTGGGAGGCTAGTAGTCTAGCTTTCAAATGGGAGATGGTGGTAGCCTGAAGTAGGGTGGTGATAGCACAAGTAGAGAGCCACATGGACAGAGTGGGGTCATGTGAGGGTCAGAGGCCACTCTCCCTGCTCATGTGCCCATGGGGATTCTCCAGGGCAGAGGTCAGCGAACTTTTTTCTAGGAAGAGCCAAAGAGTAAATATTTGAGTTTTTTGCAGGTATGCAGGGAAGCTCTGCTTGTAGGCTGGCTCTTGGCTGATATTTGGGAACATAGCTTCTAAGAGGTTCCCCGTGGCACTCCCTGAGGTGGCTGTTTTTGCATGCCTGGGACACGGAATTCCACTGAGGCTGACACCTAGACCATTTGTACGAGCTGTGTGATCTGTAGGGCACACGTTTCTTTCTGAGAGCCTGGAATTCTGCAGGTTGCAATGGGTCACGTTAGGCAGACATAACTCCACTCAATAAAATGCCCCATAAAAATTCCAGACTCTGAAAATATGACTGGGAATTAATTAAAATAGACTTTTCTTTTTTTAAAATTCTGGGCCCATTCGCTATGAATAATCACTTCTATTAGTTTTTATTTAGTTTATGCAAATTCAAGCAAACATGAATATCTACTCTGAAGTCCTTCTTCTTTTAAAAAAAAATGTCAGAAACTTTAAAAGTTACTCAGTGTCAGATTATATTGTTAAATCTTGCACATGTGCAAATATGTAACAATTCGACCATTATATAAAGTTACAAGGTACTAATAAAAAAGTTATTCAGCACCTTGCATTTTTAAGCCACCAACAGACTCATTTCTACATCTATGGTTGGAGAGCTTATTCTATTTGTCCATGGAGTTTCATTGTGTAATTCATTGTGTAGCATTGCCGATTCTACCAATCTGTTATTAATGGAAAAACAAGAAAAACACCTGAGCAGAGGTGTTTGGACTCCTGCAGACAGGAATCAAAATAAAAATGTGCAGAGGGATGGATTTGGACTAAGGGCCATAGTTTGCCAGCCCCTACACAAGTGGCCTGTCTGGCTCTACTCTGAAAAAAATCACAGACTGAATTCAATCTTTCATACCATCAAGCGAGAAACTCAGGCCCAGAATGGGAAAGGGAGGGAACTTGTCCAAGGTCAGGATGAGGGGCAGAACTAGGAGAACCCACTTCCCAACTCCCAGTTCAGTGTGCTCCCTGGTACTCCAAGTGACTGCTCCACAGAACAGCCCTGTGGATATAAACTGGCCTGGAAGCCGGGGCCTGAAAGGAAGGAAATGATAGGAAATTGGGATGATTAGGGCAGAAGAGATGAACGGTGAATGGCTTGGCCTTACCTCTGTGCTCCTACTTGTCTGTCTCTCTCTGTATAGGATTCTAAGGTCATAGGTACCAACCATATTTTCTGAACTATTTTTTTGCAGTGCTGTGTATTGAATCCAGGGGTGCACTACCATGGAGCTTTATGCTCAGACCTTTTATTTATTTATTTTTTTTTTTAACTTGTGATCCTCCCGCCTCAACCTCCTGAGCAGCTGGGATTACAGGCATGCACCAGAGCACTCGAATTCTCAACGTTTTTTTTTTTTTTTCCCCTCCATCATCAAAATCACCTCTGAAGCTTCTTATTTTTTTCAGGATTGAGGACCAAACTGAGGGCCTTGTGCATGCTGGGCAAGAGCTCTGCCATTAAGCTAAATAAATCCTCACCCCTTCTGAAGCTTCTTAACAGAAATGCTCAGGGGCTGGGAATGTAGCTTAGCGATAGAGAAATTTGTCTAGCATGTACAAGACCCTGGATTTTTATGTCCATACACACAAAAACAGACAGATAGATGCCCAGGTGTCAGAATCTCCATGGTTGTGGCCTGGAATCTCCTTTTTAAAAAGCTCCCAAGGAACTGGGGTTGTGGTTCAGTAGTAGAGCACTCGCCTAGCTTGTGTGAGGTCCTGGGTTCGATCCTCACCACCACATAAAAAATAAAATAAAATAAAATAAAGGTATGGTGTCCAACTACAAGTGAAAAATAAATTAAAAATAAAAATGCTCCCAGGTATTCTGATGATTAATCAGATTTAGAAACTCTGGGGAATGCTCAAGACCACCCCTTCCAAAGACCAGGAAAAGGAAGTCCAGGAGCAGAAGAGACAAGAGGAAATCTGCTCTGGATCAAGGCAGAGAAAGTACAGATCTCACAAAAAATACACAGACCAGAGTTTTCTAAAGCTGCTTCTTTAGATGAGCCTCTGCCCTGAGAGGCTGGGTTTGGCAAGTCCAATGGTCACAAGCCAATTTCCTTCTTCCTGGGAATTCTGCCTACAGCTCAGGATGCACTTGAGGTGCTTAGAGGTGCCCTGAGCTGCAAGGCAGGGCACACTGAGACAAAAATGAGCACTCTTTCCACTCCACAGTCCCTTTTCGTTCACTGTGATGAGGTCCATGTACCAGTACTCCACGGATATTCCCACCCAAGCTCCCTAACACAGGGAGGCCAAAAATCACAAACCTGACATTGCAAGTTTCAATTCTCCTTGAAGATTATACAGAGATTGCATGTGATCCATCGATGTTTAAGAGAAAGATGGGTGCTTCCTCGCCCACTCTTCTGAGTACGTTATTTTCCATGATGAAATTGCCCAGGGAACTTTAAAGATACTGATACCTGGGAACGATCCCCAGAGTTTCTTTTAATTGGTCTGGGCTGTGCTCTTGGAACTGGAATGTTTAAAAGCTCCCCAGAAACTTCTGCCATGCAGTGGAGGCTGAGAGCCACTGGGCTTGGCAGGTTAGGTGTTCAGTCTCCATCTCTTGTTTAATGAACTTCCAGGCACATCACCATGCACCCACTTAGAGAAGCTTAGGCATAAACACTAGTACTTGCTACTCAGGCCAGTCAATGCCTTTCCAAAGACGACTAATAAGTTAGCCAATTTCTCCAATTCTTTTTTTTTTTTTTCTTTCTGAAAGCTACCCCTGCAGGAAGAAGTTTCTCTCACTAAGATGCACCCCTGCAGAGATCTGTCCTCTTGGGTAGGGTAAAAAAAAAAATGTTTGCACTTTCAACTAACTCCTAATTTACCATTTTCTTCAATTACGAATGCAAGTGCAGGCAATAACCTCCAGTACCATTAGCAATGGAAAGCCTAGATATTTTCATACCGTGGTACTGCCATCTCAAAATATCATGTATGCTCAGGGTTGTTTTGAAATCACGGTACCAGGCATCACTAATCCAGAATCCAAAATCTGACCGTTTTTTTTTTTTTTTTTTTTTTGGTAATGGGGATTAAACCCAGGGGCGCTTAACCACTGAGCCACATCCCTAGCCCTTTTTATATTTTATTTTGGGACAAGATCGTTCTAAGCTGCTTAGGGCCTCACTAAGTTGCTGAGGATGTCTTTGAACTTGTGATCCTCCTGCCTCAGCCACCCGAGTCTCTTGAATTTGAGTGTCCATATGTCACAAGTGAAAAATCCTATAACATGAAACACTTGTTTCACGCATAAAACTGTTACAAGCACTGTATAAAATTACCTTTGAACTATGTCTACAAGGTATACATGAAACAAATTAATTTTTGTGTTTAGATTTGGGTCTTCCCCCTAAGATATCTCATCATGTATATTCAAATATTGTAAAATTAGAAAAAAAATCCAAATTCTAAAATATTTCTGGTCTCAAGCACTTGGAATAAGGAATCCTCAACTGGTAGTTATCAGACCTGCTTGTGGATCTTGCTATTTAAGGTACCGTTAAAAAAAGTGCCTATATATCCTATGTGACAAATTTGCCTTTTATAAATGTAACTGTATTTTGATATCTTTGATTTCCTACAAACTTAATGGACGCATTAAAATTTTGTGTCCTGAGAAGAGGTCCACAGGTTTCCAACTTGTTTAACTGGCCATTGAGCCTCTGGGGGTGCTGGGGGTTTGCAGAAAGCTTCCTCCACTGGCTGTGGGTGACACTGAGTCGACAGCCCTTACCTGTGGGTCTGAGAGCCGGGAGAGATCGGGGTACAGGTAGAACTTGATGCCTTCAGAGGCCCCTGGCAACGTCACCCCTCGGATCAGCAGGATCAGAAGCATGACGTAGGGGAATGTCGCGGTGACGTACACAACCTGCCCGGGAAAAGGAGAGCACAGACTCAAGAAGGGGTGACAATGTCGGGGTTACTTCACTTAGCACAACATCCCCAAGTTCGTTCATTTTGCTGCACATCACATGTTGTCCTTTCTGAAGGCTGACTGGTATGTCATTGTATGTACACACTATGTTTTCTTTCTTTCTTCATCTGTGTATCACAGTCACAGAAAAACAAACAGCCATCCTCCCGCAACCAAGCAGGTTGGCTGCAGCAGCCCCATGGGTATCAAAATCAGTGGATGCTCATGGCCCTTACATGAATAAAATGGCCTAGTATTTGCAGAGACCCCTTAGTTCATCCTCTCGTATCCTTGAAATGATCTTTAGATGTCTTATAATACCTGATGCAATTCAACTGTGGGGGAAAAAAAAGTCATTTGATTGCATTATTTAGGGAACAACAGCAACAGAAAAGTCTACATCCTCAGGTTTTAAAAAATAGTTTCTATCTATTTGGGTAAAATCCACAGATGCAACACTAAGAGCCCATTGGACTGTGTGATTTCACTCATACAAGGTATCAAAACAGTCAGATTCATAGAATCAAAGAATGAACTTGAACTGGTGGTTGTGAGCGAGGAAAAATAGGGAGTCATTTGTTAATGGGCATAAAGTTCCCATCAAGTAAGAGGCATGTGCTCTGGAGATCTGCAGTCCAGCACTGTACCTGGAGTTAACTGTAGTGTACTACACACTTAAAAGTTCATTTTTATTTATTAATTGATTTGGGGGTACTGGGGATCGAACTCAGGGTTATTTGACCACTCAGCCACATCCCCAACCCTATTTTGTATTTTCTTTAGAGTCAGGGTCTCACTGAGTTGCTTAGGGCCTCGCCATTGCTGAAGCTGGTTTTGAACTTGGGATTCTCCTGCCTCAGACTCCCGAGCTGCTGGGATTACAGGTGTGTGCTACGGCACCCGGCTTTAATTTTTTAAAATATTTAATTTCTAGTTATAGATGGACACAATACCTTTATTTTTTATTTATGTATTTTATGTGGTACTGAGGCTTGAACTAAGTGCCTCACATATGCTAGGCAAGTGCTCTGCTACTGAGCTACAACCCCGGCCCAGCACACTTAAAAATTTAAGGGAGGGCTGGGAATGTAGCTCAGAGGTAGAATGCTTGCCTAGCATGTGTGAGGCCCTGAATTCCATCTCCAGTGTTGCATGCAAAGAAAAAAAAATGTTACGGTAAATCTCATGTTAAGATTCTAACTATAGTAAAATAATTTAAAAAACCAGTGACAGTGGTGGGCCCTGCAGGGACCAATGGGAAGAAGAATTTCCTAGTAAAGCAATAAGAATGGACCCCAGATGCAGCCTGTTGTCCTGTACTGTCTCCTACCACTGTCCCTTCAAGGACTGGATCTTCTAGAAAATATCTACTGAGGCCTACAATCGGCTTGATGGTACTGCATCTCAAACATTTTTGACTACAGCCCATGGAAAGAAATATATTATCACAACCCAGTGCACATGGGGCTGAAAAGGAGTTTCACAAAATCACACATGGTAATATTGTCCAACGTTTCGTTTCATTTCCTTCCTGCCCCTCTCTCTCTCTCTCTCTCTCTCTCTCTCTCTCTCTCTCTCTCTCTCTCGTACCAGGGATTAAACCCAGGGTGCATAACCACTAAGCCACATCCCCAGTCCTTTTTATTGTTATTTACAGACAGGGTCTCGCTGAGTTGCTTAGGGCCTTGGTAAGTTGCTGTGGCTGGCTCTGAACTTGTGATCTTCCTGCCTCAGCCTGCAGAGTCACTGGGATTACAGGCATGCACTACCATGCCCAGCTCTGTTTCATGTTCTAAGAGGCTGGTCACGATCCTTAAAATCCATTTCATAATGCACCAATGAGCCACAACCCACAGTTTTGAAAAAAAAAATACTGCTCTTAATAAAAATCAAGGTTTTAGATCCCAAGATAGGATAGGAGAGGTGAAGGAAGAAGAGAACAGAGTGGAGGGAGGGAGGAGAGGGGAGAAAAGAAAACTGGGGTGGAAAAGCCGCTGGCATGGGCCTCAAGTCATTTAAGCTTGCTCAGCTATAGAGACAGGTGATTGGATCCAATGAACCTGAGAGACCCCTTCTGCTGGCAGATTCCGGGTAAGAGCTGAGGCACGTGGAAAATGCACAAACCTTCCCTGCACAAACGCCGCCTAGATGGGATCAGGCAGACCTTCGCACGCTACCAGAATCTCAGTCCTGGGGGCTGCACGCACGCACTGGACACACCTCCCACCTGAGGTCCCTGTGGGGCTTGGTGTCCTGCCAGGTCTGATATTTTCTCCTTTGTCACCTCCTCTCCAATGCCTTGGTTGCATCCCCCGGGGCGGGGCCTACTGCTCCACCACTTTAGACCAGCAACTTGGCAAGAAGCCAGAGATGTTTCTGAGAATCCGAGGACAGTCCGGGCCTTCCCGGCAAATGCGCAGACCCAGAGATGAAGGATCCTCCGTGATGGTGCAGACTCAGTTTACCCCTGTGTTTTGAGCCTGGCTCTGGTTTCACTTCTCACTCCTGCTCAGCCCAAGGCTTCCGTGACCAGGAGAGTTCAGTCCTTCGCTCCATTCATTCATTCATTCATTTGCTCAGCCATCTGCCTACTCGCTCCACTCCCTCAGATACCACAGATGCTCCTAAGGGCCCAGCATTGAGCGAAGCCCTGGGAATGTATAAATAAGGGTGACTCGGGGGATGGGATTTCTGCTCCAAGAGACTTTCAACTGGTAGAAAAGACAGACATGCAGAAAACAGATAATGGGGTCATGGAGTCAGGGGAGGGCAAAAGAGGATGGAGAGGAAGCAGCTCGTGACAAGAGCAGTCAGGGAAGGCTCCTCCAAAGAGGTGACACAGATGCTGGTTCACAGAGGATAAGAGGAGTTCAGGACATGGCAAAAGGGGATGGAAGGAAGAGGGAAGCAGAGTCCTTGCTTTATGCCAGGTAACACACAAAGATCGCATTTGGTCAGGACTTCATTTTCTGAAAAGGTGTAGCTGTCTTCTTTTTATACATGAGAAAGTTGGGAGAGGTCACCAGTAATTTGTCCAAGGTCACCCAGCAACAAATGGTGACCAGATGTGGGATTCACAGCAAGCCCTGCCTGACTGCAAGATCACGTTTTCACCCACCAGGAGAGCCACAGGAACGCCATGTTATTTTCTCAATCTGGGAGACGATACTCTTAGAGAAGCTAAGTTGTTCCATGAATATGTGACAAAGCAGAGATTTAAACCCAGACCTCAGAAAGTAGGAAATCAGGGCCAACAGGGGGTAATGATGATAGGTCCTGTGGACATAACCTGGAAGGTCGGATCATTTTATCCACCCACTTCTATAATCAATGACAATGATGGCATTGTCCCTAGAGCCACCAACTCCTGCATCCCTGTTTCCAAGTCAACCACTGGTTCAACTGACATGTCACACACTCAACATAATTTCTTGCTGTCGTATATGAGCCAGAAAAGGGGCACACAAGCCAAACATAGAAGAGCAATTGATATTAATAATAAAAAAAGAGGTCAGCAATTGATATTAATAATAAATAAGAGGCCAGCAACCAATAAATGCTTGATGGTTCCTGCCCAGTACTATACAATCTCCACTTTCATTAGGCTTTCTAGGCACCAGCTAGGATAGATCTTCAGCATCTCATATCAATTCTTGATTTTGTTTTCCTCCAAGATGAATGCCAGTTCCCAGTCAGTGAGCTTAACTTGACAAAAAGACAGGTTGAGGCTAACAATTTGTTGCTTTCACAGAATAATTTCCAGTTGCTCTGTCGTGTGTGACAGATTAATTTATCCACAATGGCCAGGAGCTGACCTCTTCCAGATTCATGATATCTCTCCGGCTCAGCCACCTTAACCTCCCATGCTCAGACAATTTAAGGAACAGAACATTACCACGTCAAACACAAGAACAACTCAAAATCTTAAGAGATTTGTCCTTCACCTGCAAGACTGCCTTAATGTGACTAACCTTGCCAGTTTTGCTCTGCCCAGTCTCCATGGAGTGGACTGGGTCTCTCTAGGGTGTTGGTAGGTGGCGGGGGGTCACTTATGACCCTGGCTAAATGTCCCCAGGCTGTGCCCAGGCAATCTACATAAGTGACTCCTTGACCACTACAGTGACATGGTTCATTAAGTGGCTGACGATTATTTTTGAAGCCGTTCTATTGTTTAGAGGTCTAAATGAATGCTCTTGCTTTTTCAATGACTTTTAGCAGAGCCACGTTCCCTCCACTGGAATCCACAACTTCATTTTTATTCTCCTTTTACAAAACCATAAAGGAAATAAAATATTCAAATGAATTGCCCAAAGACCTGAGTGCAGACGCATTTAGCTGCCAAGAGTAAACCACTGGCTGGCACACATTACCCTAGAAAAATTCATTTGTAAGCTAAGGTTTGAGAGCCTCGAGTTAGGGGTACAAAAGGTGGTTTAGGGGCGCCATTATGTAATGCATACCAGAGGAGGGTGGTATGAAAGCTGTAAATGCAACGCAGAGCACATCGGAATCTGTTGCTGGTTCCGGTTCTTCTAAAAAGCTCCTTCTAATCTGTGTTTATCCTTGGCCACACCAGACACTTGGACATTCATTTCATTTTTTTTTTCCTTGAGAACAGCTGAAGGCTGTCAAAATCCATACAGGTCCTGTCATCAGGAGATTGTTCATAAAGAACTCAAATGCTCCCATTCGCCCCTCCTGTGCTCTTGTCAGGCACCACTAATTGATCACAGCATTCTTTGCAGCCAAGCCTGGATGCAGCCACAGAGACACCTCCACCCAGTTCTCCAGGCAGACCCCGTAATCAGTGGAGATGGAATCCCTCTCTCTGCGACCTGTGATCTTGCCCATGTTTCATTTACACATTTTCAAGAGTCTCCTGAGGTTTACCAGAATGGAAAGGTAGTGGGAAGTGAGGGTCAGGACCCTTGAGTTCTGGAAGCAACTTTATTAGA